CTACAAGAGGGACACGGAGGTGCTGGAGCGTGTCCAAAGAAGGGCAACGAAGCTGGTGAAGGGTCTGGAGCATAAGTCTTATGAGGAGCGGCTGAGGGAACTGGGGTTGTTTAGTCTGGAGAAGAGAAGGCTGAGGGGAGACCTTATTGCTCTCTACAACTACCTGAAAGGAGGCTGTAGCGAGGTGGGGGTCAGTCTCTTCTCCCTAGTAACGAGTGACAGAACGAGAGGAAACAGCCTCAAGCTGCGCCAGGTGAGGTTTAGGTTAGACATTAGGAAAAACTTCTTCACCGAAAGGGTGGTCAAGCATTGGAACAGGCTGCCCAGGGAAGTGGTTGAGTCTCCATCCCTGGAGGTATTTAAAGAACGGACAGATGTGGTGCTCGAGGACATGGTATAGATGGACTTGGCAGTGATAGGTTAACGGTTGGACTCGATGATCTTAAGCGTCTTTTCCAACCTTGACGATTCTATGATTCTTTCCCCCAAGGACCAGGTCCTGTCCCCCAGCCACAGCCCTTCTGGCAGGGTGGGACACTCCACCATGGCCCAGTGGCACTGATGGGTCTTTGTGCCTCTGTGCTTCTGAGGCATCCTCAGTGGAAACCACTCAGAGTCACTCTGTAATAAGCTCATCCTAATGCTGCACTCTGCTAACGGCAAAAATCAGCAAAACCAAAGGCTTTTCCCCATTCTTACCCTGGCCAGTAACTGTATTTCCTTTGCCATCTCAAATGATCCTCCTACGTCCAGACCGCCAGGAGTTAAAGGAACAACCCAACTTGCTCCGAAAGGGTAATGACTTCATTGGCAAGAACATGATGGATATGTTGTACCCAAGTACCTCATTAAATACTGACGACTGGACTTGACTCCTCCTGAAGTATCTCATGATGCCTTGCCAAGTACCAGCCACGCGAACACTAAGTTTTAGGGAAGGAAGAGAAGATTCAAATGTAATTCTGGGTTACAAACCCCCCCAGCTGCTGAGTGCCAACATGATGCACTAAGATCTCCACCAAGAATGGAAACTTTGGCGAAACTGGTGATAAAAAGCTTCAGAACCTCTTTGCAGTATTTCTGCAGCAGTTGCAAAAATGATGTTAACTACGTTTATGTCATTAACACACAGCTGACCCAAACAGTCTTATCTAATTGAACGTTACTGAAGCAAGACCATCCTTAGCTACATCTGTACGACCCCCTGAAATCAACAACTTGGCATGGATGACAATGGTTTGACCTTCTCTGATAACATCCCTTGGTCTACCACCATGCAGACTGCCAGCACCCTTTTGCTCTTTAAAATGCACTATGGCACGTAATTCCTTATTCTTTTTTTAAGAGGTGAAACAAGATGTAGTTCATAAATGATGAAAGCGGCACAACAGCAGAAAGAAGAGGTACTGAGCAACTGAGCTTCATCTGCAGGTACATCTTCCACAGCGTCCAGTTTCCAGTCATCTTTCCCCTAGGACATCATATAGTTGAGATGCCCACAGTGCCTTTCCAAAACTCTTCTTAAATTTTGCTGTTGTCCCACTCAAGTGATGCTGGGGGGGGTACAGACAAGCTCACAGCTTTTCATCTGCCGGCCCAGAGGCTGGTAGCAATTACTGAGCTCTGCATCTGTTTAACCTCCCAACCTCCACAAAGCCCTGCATGCCCATTAGCTAAGTTGGTTTTGTTATTACATTTTTTAGAAACTACTACTCAGCCCCTGAATTTCCCTTACAGACTAAGAATGGGACAACTTCAAAACTCAAGTTTCCCCAACAGTTGAATTAATTAGGGCAATAGTCAGCAATAAACATTTAAATAGGTGTTTCCCACAGTTTATTGCAAATTAACATACCTAGTGGGGGAAAGCAAAGCAGGGGGAAACCAGTGTCCATTCTACAAGAGCATCTCGCTGTAGGTGCCATCTCTGCTTTCCAGAACTGGCAAATATTTTGGCAAAATCATCATCTCCCCATATGCTGAAAACAGGGGGAGGGTTTTTTTACACCTCCTGCTTTCACGCATCTGAAATAGCGTTACTAAAATTGCTTCCATGCAATTTATGCCATGAGCTTCAGCCCATCCATACATGCATGCATCTTGGGGGGTGAAATCCCCCTGGCCAATGTGCATCTCATCTCTGTCACCTCGTCGCAACTCCTGCCCGGCAGTGACAGCTCCGCCAGCTCAAAGCACTCCTGGAGAGATGTCCTGTGCTCCTTCAAACGGGCAAGGACATTAGGTTTAGGTAACTGCACATCAAGCAGCTAAAAGTTTCCCTTCCACCCTGCTTTTCCTGGCCAGGGGTGAAGAAAGGCTTTAAAAGCCATGCACCAGCTGCAAAAGCAACCTGCCCGTGGCCCGCAGGCAAATAAAACACCCTGAAAGGAGACAGTTAAAAGGCTCATCCGAAAAGCCTCTGCCTCCGGAAAGCTTTCGGCAGGGTCCCTCTTCTCCCCCAGCCCCATCCATCGCCGCCCTTGCCGGCTGCGGTGGGCTCCTTTGCCTTCTTTTATCTCCCAGTGCACTCAACCAAATCCTGAAAAGATGAACTCATCTCGCAGCCCTGACATAAAGCAAGCACTTTAGCAAGCCCCTAATACAAGGGGGCCTGTGCTGTGTCTTATCCCCTGCCAAGTATTAGTTTCGCCTCCAGCTATTAGCCACTACCACTCAGCAGACAGCAGGGGCGGCCGGCAGAAAAGCATGTCCTCTGCCTTTTAAATAAATATTCCATTTTTTCCTCCTCTATCCACGCTGCCCTTTACACACAGACAAGAAAATCCTTTTTTTTTTTCCTTTTTTTTCCCCTTTCTGCTGGAACAGAGGCAGGCTTGTTAGCTTTCTTTTTGAAGAAAGAAAAATATTTTAGTCCTGCAGTGCCTCCCTCCATGGTATACACCACATTTTTAACAACTATCATTGTAGGCAGCTACAACTTCTAACAGCTACATTTAGGCTGGCGTCAGGGCTATCTCTTCCATCAAAGCCACCTTTATCGATCAGATGGACGGGCTGAAACTCTGTCTCTTGTTTACTCGTTCCTCCGAGTCGCCGTTTCCTCCGCCGCAGCGATGCCTCGCAGCAGACACATCCAAAAGGAAATTCAAACAATTTAAGATAAAAAAACAAGATAGGAAGCAAGACGGAGAATCAAAACCAGAACTTAACAGGAAAACAGTCTTGTATGGCTCAGGCAGAAGGAATACG